CGCACGAGATTGAAATCGGGACCGGTAGCCCTTCGTATAGTGATCCATGAGGGATGAACGATGTGCTCATCATCGGGCATGATAAAGCAACACACCTCGAACCTCGAACGAGCTCTAAGACCTAGGGAAACACGATAAATGGTTACATGATGGATAGAGAGTCGTGATATTCGCATCTAACCGAATATCATGGCGCAAATCCTGCTCGATGTGGTTACAGATCAGTAATTAATGAGAAAAGAAGATTTTTATCTTTTTTGACTTATACTAGGGGTAAAACTCTCCTACTATATAAAGGGGAAGTTTTTCCTTTGTAACACGCAAATAAAAACAATTCAAGTTTATTTTTTTGCTTTCTAGCAACTGTTAAAGTCCTTATTTAATTGCTCTGCTCTACATTCACAATTGGGCTCGATCCATGGGTCCAATCGAGGATGAGCTACTGTTCAACTTAGGTTCGGGCTACGCCATAGCATTACAACTGGTTTGATCATTTGTTTTGTCTTTAACTCATTTATCTAATATTCTTAATTATTTGTATTGAATCAAACCACATATCCTTAAAATTGCATACAAATTTAATTATTATCCGAATTAAAGGTAAACGGACATGTTATAGTCAAATGCTTCAAGAACAGATAATTGATGAAGAAAAATCAAGATAATTGATTAATGTGATTAGGTGATAAGTTAAGGTAAAAATACTTGTCTATTGGCCATGATTAAATAATGAAGCTCACAGTAAAAGCATGTGTCGTGAACTTATTACTAGTAAAAGCATGTTTTTACCGTAACTCACAGTAAAAGCATGTTTTCTGCTAAAAAGTACGAAAGTTTTCTGCTAAGATGATGTGAGATGGTATTTTATGGGATAACTCTTTGTGTATAGGATGAAAAAGGTAAATTATAGAAGTTCCTTGCTTCCTATTTGTACAATAAAACTCATGCATGTCCATCTTTGATTGGGGATTTTTTTTTTAAAATTTCTAAATTCTCTATTTGAGTTGTATGTTATCTCTGTTGTGTGATTTATTTTGTTCAGTTCGGTAAATTTGTTGATAGGCTATGATGGTGGCTTTGGTGTAGAATTCTGACAATACTTAAAATTGATTTCTTTATTGGATTAAGAGTGTTAATGTGTACGTGTCCGTGTGATTGTAATATAACATATGTGTTTTTATGGGTCTATATTCTTTCATAGATCTCATGAGTCTATCCATTTTTCCTTTGTTTATATTTGGTGTGGCCTCTCTATTTCTAGAGTTATTTACTGTTTTTAGTTTATTGCACTTTTTTTATTTGTAATAAAATAATTTCGTGTCTATATCTTAGTTTGCTATTCTATTTGAATACTGTCTTGCTAGAATTTTACATGCATATTACTAATTATGTCTTATTTGCACATCATTTTGTCTTTTTAATGAATTTTGTCTTTATTACTAGCTATTTAGTGCATATTTAAACCGAAAAATCTGATTTAAAAAATAACAGGAATATTGAAGTTGACTATACACCTATGGTGTTTGATGATATGTCAGCAAGAGGTAAATCCAGATTCATGGTCAGTGTTAATTGCATTTGCACTTGCAGACTGCACTTGAAGAAAAAAGTTTGCTTCTTTCTTTCTCCTCTTTTTTTCCCCAAGCTTAATAGCTACTTCAAAACTCTACAATATTCTGATTCCTGAAGATCACGAAATTAAAATTTCTACTTTAGTAGCTATCTTACTGGCTTCAAGTCAATCTGATGTGTTTATATTGTAGGCATCTTTTAAATTTTTTCAAAATTATCATTTAAATTAGTGCAATTCATTTTTTGATTTAGAAAAAAAATAAATTAATAGATTCTTTCTAGATGGCCCTGTTTAAGAATGAACAATCTAGATATCATTTATACTATTGTAGATAATAACTATTTTGTAATAGAAATTCCTTAAAGCTTCCATTAAGGAGTCATATGTTGGGGGTCTTTCATTCCAAATTCTGTTTATAAGATGAGGACTCTGCCAACAAATTTTCAAGTAATGGATAATGAGAGATGCATATGTTTAGTGTGTTACATAAACACTGTTGGATTCATTCTTTTATCTTCGTATCTTATAAAAGGCTATAGTAAGAGATGATACTAATATGACAGAATAATATAGAGCAAGAAAATATTTAGCCTTCTAAAGAATGTGCTTCTCTTGTGGATAAAAACAAACAAACCAATAATGATGCTATTCATTATGGTCTGGCCATATGACAAACCGTGAAGGATAAATATCATGCGAATTGACTCAATTGCTTATAAGTAAAGATTAGGTTCTTTAGACTTGGTCAACTGTAACTAATCAAAAATAGATCTTGGTTAAGCACAAAATTTTATATATATATTTATAAATATGAAAGATGTGTTTGGTCATGTCTACTTGTGAATAAATCTTTTTATTTACTACAATGGTTGTTACTAGAAAAGAATTTAAGGATTATTAAAGTATGATGTTTGAAGCTATTTATGCAATGACGGTTGCATATAAATAATCTTGGTTGTGGTTGCTTATTTGGACAAAAATAATGACCTAATACGAATTTAACTAATTAAAGAGAATTTTCCTTTCTTTCTTCCAGATGCCATGAAACTTTTTTTATCGGTGCCAGATACCCTAAACTTATAGCGTGTAATAAGACTAAATGGTGACTAAATACTTGTGATATTTGAACTTCTTGCTTGCCTCTCTATTTTCATGATATAAATGAAATATGATTCTTCTTTTTGGGTTTAATTGATGATATATTGCTTCTAATACTAAGTTCTTTTCTTCCATGCTGGTAAGCTTACTAATTTCCGGAGCAATCTCTGCAGCACCTAGATAAGTGATATAATGTTCTGTAACTATAAAGAGGCATGGTCTTCTTGATAGTGATATATGGGTGGCTCATTAGATAATATGGTTTCCAATTACTATAATTTCTTTATAAAGTACTTACAAGTGTGTAAATGTTCATATAAATACCTTCATATTGGTTGTATATTTCTGATTTTTATCCTTTTTTCCTGCTCTAATATACCTTTTGATTTAAAGTTAGAAATGCTCTGCATATTCCTTTTTGATGCATTAAATTTCAGACAATATTGGTGCTTATAGTCCAGGAGGGACACCGATCTTATACCTGCTTATTTGTAAGGGTTTTCCTTAATTGTTAAAGCTGAAAAATAACTACTCCAAGATAATCTTTTTGGCTCTGCAAACTGAGGTTCACGTAAATCACGCTTAGTCTTTTATCCAATTTACTTGAAAATTATGGATGCCCTTAATATAGATCAATGAAATTTCTTGATAAATGTTCTCTACCCAAGTGCCGGAAGATGTGCTTATGGTGGTTACTACTTGGACAGGTTGTCTGCAGAATATATTCATGCATATGACTGCTATGTGAAGTGTAAGGAAAAGAGTTCCATTCAAAGAAGAAGCCACCAGTACTACTATCTATTGTAAGAGAAAAAGAATTTTTGGACCAATAGTACCACTAGATGCTAGATATCACCACATTGTAAGACAAGAATTGAACGGCAGGCCAGCCTATAAGTCGCATAACTGAATCTGCCACAAACCACAAGGTTAGCAGCAAGCTGGTTCGTCGGCCAAAGCCATAATGTTCTCTCTACACAAGTCCAACAAAGGTAGTTTGACTGCAAGCCCATGACAATTTTGTACCCTCCAAGTTTGTTTTTCCAATAGTATTATCTCAAAAGCCTTCGCTAATGTAGGCCTCTGTGAAGTTCTTCAGCCTCCTTGCAGGAAAGCAGGTTTTCTTATACACTATTGGTTCCCACCTGTAGCGCATCTATACCACACATGTTCCTTGAAGTAGCAAATGGTGCCATGATCAACAACCAACTATGTCTGTGGAATTTAGGCACCCTCACTGCTATTCTGGCATTTGTTAATAATCAACTCAGCAACGAAGTAGCAAATGGTGCCATGATCAACAACCAACTATGTCTGTGGAATTTAGGCACCCTCACTGCTATTCTGGCATTTGTTAATAATCAACTCAGCAACAAAGTGAGGACATAGAGCAGGTTTTTGCTTCATCTTCTCTACATGGTTTTTACTTTTTCTTTTCTTCAGAATTTGATAGACGGCAGTGACATTTTTCATTAAAGATCTGTAGTTAGCGTTAGAAGAACTTTGCTAATAATGTCTCCTACCCTGATGATAGTGCATGTGTGATGATTTGGCATCAGTAGCGGCAAAGTTTAGCATAGTTTATACTTGGATTCTTTTAAAAAATATAGCTCTCTAGCACGTCTAAATTTATACTTATGACATGGTTATTGCACTTATTTGGTATACCATAATTACAAATTTGATTGCTTACATAGACTTGCAAAATAGGGTTTGGTATATAAGAGCTAAATTTGTTGAGAACAAAGGTAGCATTGGAGCTATAAATAGAAGCTACTCAAATCTTCGCGTCTTTAAAGAACTGAATGTTAATATTTTTTAATGTTCATCAACAACCATTTTTGACATCTATATTAAGGATTACAATATTATTTCCAAATTTACCCAGACATGATGTTCAGGGTTGATTATTTTTGTCATGTTATGTAGACTCAATTATTTTTAAATTATTTCTTAATTTTTTATTTCATAAATTTGCTTCTTTTAATTTTGAAAATATTATGAATCATAATTGGTAGGAAATGATAAAACGACTAAAAAATTCGTCACACAATCTCTAAGCTTCTAGGTTCAAAATTTCTTTGTATCAAGAGAAATAAAAGACATTGAACATTTGTAATGAATGGAGATTACAATTCGAGTTGTTGCGCCCGAGCTGCAGGACTCAACTAGTCTATTATTTAGAAGTGGGAGTTGAGTGGGGCGAACATGTTCGTACTAAATTCAATGTGAAGTACCGTGTACAGTGGGCCCATTTCATTAAATCAGTACATGACTGTTTGTCTATTATATCCTTGACCTACACTAATTGATTTTCTGTTTGGGGGTAAATTGGTGATTGAAGTCATCAACCTATTCTTTTGTGAACACGTGTATTCCACATTTTGTTCAAAATTCTCTGCTACTACACTTCAATAGTACAATCCAGAAACTCCTATTATCCTGATCGATCATCTTCTTACTTTTCATTGTTCATCGGAGGCCTCCTTTTTGTTCCTTTCTTTTGCTCCTCTCTAACACCTTGAATTCGTTTCACTTTTCTTTCAGATTTCTGAATTTGGTTCCAAATTATCACTTTTGATTTTTCAATTTCTCAATTAGTGAGAGTTTTTTGCATTCTTTTCTTTGTTTAGCGCACCCCTGATTCTTCCATGCCTCATTTCTTAGTTTTCGTCTGAATTTTTCCATATTGGTTACTATTTGTATCTGGCCTATCTTGAATCTATGAGTTCTGCCTAGGGTTGTTGCCATTTTTTCAATTGTTTGCTAGGTAATTTGGTTTGTATGTGTTGTTTCCTCTTCTTTTATATAATTTCTTTGTGAATTTTGTATATGAATGCACATAATTGTAACTAATTTTCAAATACATGTTTGGAGATAGATACTAGTGCATGTTCAGTATTTAATTTATTTTAGTTATACTTTCAGATACCTCATCTTTCATATAAAACAAGTAGCAATCGAAAATTTTCATCACCAGTTTTTCTGTATAACTGACGGTAATTTACTTTGTAGCTACACCTGGTTGGACTTGCAAGATACAAGTTGTTGATAGAAGTCGAGAATGGGAAAGCGGTGAGAAAAAAATAAAATTCTAGAATCTTATCTTGCAGGATGAAGAGGTAATCTCATTTATCGTCTATGCATGCACCAAAGTGTTTGATGATATGCCTGAGTCATTTTATTTTGATGATATGTCAGAGTCATTTTATTTGGAGTTTTCGATTGCTCTTTCATAGTATGCAGTTCTTTGTCTTTTCCATCTTTCCTTTGGAATGGAGTGCTACAACCTTGAACTTCTTTTGGTTTCTTATTCATTGAACATTACCAATATACTCTATTACCGCTTCTTTTTCATTTAAATTGGTCTATCATAAGCGATAATTTTATTTATGTTTTTGTCATTAATATGTTCTTCAAGCCGGGAGAATGCAAATAGTATGGATCAAATGCTAGTTTTCATGATTTCTCAAATATAAATTTATATTCCAGTTATTTCCAAATTTGAAATGGTACATATGTTCTGAGAATTGATGTGTAAGAAACAGTGATGGCACGAATTATCAAAAATCATATGCACGAATAGATCATCATACCTTTTGATGGGCAAGGGTGGTGCAATGATTGGTACTGCACATAGTGAATTAATTTAGACCCCAAATCTGGAGCAGTTTGTCCCAGACCTGGTTGCATATTCTAATTAAGATCTGATAGAAATCTTTTATCTAAAGGGCAGAGTCGCCGAAGTGAGTCTAAATGCCTCCAATCAATTGTGAAGTTAGCAAGATTCTAATGCTATTTTTCTGAAACTGATGACTATAATTATATACAATTTAAGTAATAAACTAAAAGTTACCTAGCCACAAGTCTAACTTGAAGAGTAGCTTCATCCATTCATCGGAGAACTATACATTCACTTTTCTTGGCTATATGTTGATCGATGTATAGCTTCTCAAATGCAGTAGGGGCTGACAATACTGCATCAGAGATATCCCTTAATTTATATCCCCGAGTTGAGTTTATGTACTAGGAACAAGGATCATAGTTGGACATTTTTCTATTGGCTCAAGATTACTACAGAGTTGATGAAGAAAAGATGAAGTAAGAAAAAGGAGTTGCGGAAATAATTAATAAATAGATGGAGAGGATTATGAGAAGCCCTGGTTTGTATTCACAAAAACTTCCAAAGGCTTTTGGTCTCAGAAACTTGTATGTGTCAATATCATGAGGTATTGGTTTTCTATCTTAAATAGTAGTTGAAATTATGCCATTTACCTTATAGATTAGTAAAAACTATGTGAGTACTACTAAATAATGATGAGCCTATTTTCTAAATGTAGATTATCTTTCAGTTATTTCTACAAATTTGAAATGGTACATGTATTCTATGTATGGTGATGGCCGAAGAACCATAGTGTGATTTTGCTCTTTTGTATCACGCTGGACATTTTGGTTGAAGGATAGCTTTGCTTACTACTGGTCTATGTCAGAATGGAGAAAAAAACTAATAGCACATTCTATGATGATGTAGTTTTTTTTTAATATATATATATAATGTTTGATTCATGGGTCTTCTCATGGGCTTATTGTTATAAAATACCCAATTATACGGATGTTTTACATAGACTATTGGTTATCGTTTTTCTATTTATTTTTCAATATGGATCAGTGTTTGATACATAGTTTATGGGAGAATGACACAGCTACCCACTAAAACAAAACTATTTACCCTTGCCTACCCATTTGTCTTTCTACTCATTAAACTAATTACATTTCCTACCCATAGTAGTTTTTGTGGGAAATTTTTTCTTTTTTCTTCAATTTTTTTTTATTTCTATGCTTCTTCTTTTTTCCTTTTTTTCTCCTTTTCTTTTTTCTCGTTTTCTTCTTATTTTTTTCTTTTTTCCTTTTCTAATTTCATTTAACTTATTTTTTTATATTCTTTTCTCTTCATAATCTAATTTCATTTACTATTTTCACTATTTTTTATTATTCTTTTTTTATATAATAAGAAAAAATAGCTGATATAATAAATATTTGTTCACTTTTTTAAATATAACTAGTATAATATACCTTCTTTTTTTTCATTTTTAAAATTCAGTTATTAAATTGAAATAATATCAGTTGTCACTTGATCTAATTCACTGAATATCACATTGATTGCTGCTGAGCACCATAAATTACATAATCAGCTTTTAAGAATCAACACGGGATTGCCATGCAAATCTTGATCTCCTTCCTTATAAATATCAGTACATACTCTACCATTAGCAGTAATACAACCAGTTATGGAGCAAGAAAATATAATCTACGGCCACCAAATCTTCATATACACTAGTTAGAATAGAAATGATAACAAAACATTGGAAAATGCAATAAAAGTATAAGTAGCAAAAAAGACTTCTACAAACATATGATACCAATATGGTATACATGTATACCAACAGAGTATGATTGCTCTAGAATATTGCTACAACTATCTGCGACTATACTAATATACCAAAATATTAAGGATGCAATAAAAGTATGAGAAATTACATGCTCGCAACTAAATATTCGCAAAGCAACTTGCTCATTCTGTATGTTAATAGGGTATATAGTTGTATGGGGTCGTTCCAATAATTATCTATAATTATAAAAACTATTACATAATACACATAATCTATGTTCGTCGGCACAAAAATTCTAGTACTGCAAATCATGTTCATATAAATAATTTCAGAATAGTAATCACTTAAAAATGCAGCTAA